GATAAGTATGAAACAGGGAGAAAAACCTCTTGCTGTGTATTTCTCCATGCTAAAAACCCTATGGCAGGAAATAGATCACTTAGAAACTGTGATATGGGAAAGTGTAAATGATGCAACAACCTATCACAGACTAGTAGAAAGGAATAGGGTTTTTGAGTTCTTGGCAGGGCTGAACCCTAAATTCGATATTGCTAGGCAGCATATTCTTTCTAGGGAGGGTGTGACACTCTCTCAGGCCTTTGCCTTTGTCTTTGGAGAGGGGAGCAGGAGGAATGTAATGCTGAGACAGGTTGGGATTGACTAGTCGGCTATGGTTGGTACAACAAAACCTAAGCCGAATGGAGACAGGGGGAGTAGTGAGACTAGAAGGGAAGATAAGAAGGACTTGGTGTGTGATTATTGCAAGAAGCCTAAGCATACCAGGGACACTTGTTGGAATTTTCGTCCAAATCTTATGCCTACCCGGATAAGGAACAAGAAGGGAAAAAATGCAAATGTAGCCATTACAGGAGACTCGTCAGTCCCTCTTTCCCAAACGGATTAGGAATCCATTGCAGTAGCAGTAGTGAGGATAGAACTGGAGAGGTTTGGATAACTTATGAGTAAGAAAAATTTACCTAGCACTAGCCTTCCAGATGGACAGTAGAATGCAGAAGCCAGATACACCTCTTCCTTTGCACATACAGGTAGTTCATATGCAACTGTAAATCTTGCATCCACTTCAGGTAAGGAGGGACCTCCCTGGATTATAGACTCTGGAGCATCTGAGTACATGACTAATGCTCCTATCCTTTTCAGTTCTTATCAGTTGTGTTCTGGTAGAGACAGAGTCTCTACAGCAGATGGTTCACATATTCCCATTGCTGGGAAAGGGACAATTAGAGTGACCAATGATATAACTCTGTCTTCTGTTTTACATGTCCCTAGACTTCATACCAACCTACTGTCCTTTGGTTCTTTGACAAAGAATTTGAATTGTTCTATGACCTTTCTTCCTGGTAATTGTGTTTTGCAAGATCTGGAGTCAAAGAAGATGATTGGGAGTGGTCGTGAGGTGAATTGACTCTACCTTTTGGATGAGATTCCGAGACATCAGGGCCATCATGTTAGCAATAGTAGTGGTAGTGGGTCAGAGTCGGTGAACCAGATTGTGCTCTGGCACAATCGCTTGGGACACCTTTCTTTTGGTTCTTTGAAATGTCTTTTTCCCAAAGTTGTTTGAGTCTGTTTAGTTATCTACTTTGGAGTGTGAGAGTTGCTAGTTAGGAAAGCATTGTAGATAATCTTTTAAACCAAGTAATAAAAGAAGTACTTTTGCTTTTAATATTGTTCACACTGATGTACGGGGGCCATATCATATCCCTTCTATAGGAGGATTCCGGTACTTCTCTTGTTTGTGGATGATTGTACACGATATTCATGGATATATTTGATGAGATCCCGTGATGAGGTTCCTAACTTGGTACGACAGTTCCACCAGATGGTTCTCACACAATTTGGAGTGAGAACTAAGGTTTTTAGATCAGATAATGCCAGAGAGTACTTTGAAAAGGACCTGACCACATATTTCCTAGAACATGGGGTAATTTATCAGAGCAGTTGTACATATACACCACCACAGAATGGAGTTGCTGAGAGAAAAAACACACACATTGTGGATGGAGGTGGCAAGGAGTCTTATGTTGTATGCTTCAGTTCCTGTGCAGTTCTGGGGAAATGTAGTTCTTACAGTCATGCATTTGATTAACCGTCTTCCTTCGCAGACTTTGGGGTTGAAGGTGCCATTTAGTCTGCTTTTTCCAGATGGGGTGATATTTCATATACCTCTAAGGGTTTTTGGGTGTGTTTCCTTTGTTCACATTCTTGGATCTCATCGCAATAAATTGGATCGTAAGGACAAGAAATGTTTCTTTCTTGGGTATGCTCAGAACCAAAAGGGGTTTTGCTATTATGACCCAGTGTCGAGGAGCGRATTTGTCACAATGGATGTTACTTTCTTTGAATCCACCTTCTTCTTCTTGAGTGGTTCTCCTTAGGGGGAGAGTTTTGGGGAGGAGAACTCAAAATCTGTTCCTCTTCCTGTTTCTTTGGTGCCTTCATCAGTTCAATCAGTACCTTCATCAGTTCAGCCAGCACTTCCATTAGTTCAGCCAACACCTGCACCTCCAGTTTTATTACTTGAGCCACTACGAGCAGCCTCACAAAAATATCCGCGCCGACAGATGATGGTTGACTCCACACCACTCTCTATCAGTCCTTCTGAAACTCCAGATTCGGCAGATATAGTTCCAGGTATTCCTCTTGAACCTGAGCCTGTTATGTTTTCTGATGATATGTTCCTATCCCTAACACCAGTGTTGCAACTGATCCCATTGACCTTGATCTTCCCATTGCACTTCGTAAGGGGAATAGAAAGTGTACAGCCCATTGCATTTCACACTGTCTTTCCTACAGTGCCTTATCACCCTCCTACTGTGCTTTTCTTTCTTCCCTGGATTCTGTGTCTATACCCAGGAATGTTATTGAGGCTCTCTCCAAACCCGAGTGGAAAACAGCCTTGCAAGATGAGATGGATACTTTGGTTAAAAACCAAACTTGGCAAGATAGAGAGGAGATAGTCAGATGTAGATGGGTATTCACAGTGAATTATAGAGCTGATGGCAAGATAGAGAGGTACAAGGCAAGGTTGGTAGCAAAAGGGTATACTCAAACCTACGGTGTTGATTATCTAGAAACCTTTGCACTAGTAGCTAAGATGAGTTCAATTCGTATCCTTTTATGTCTAGCAGCCACCTATTCATGACCCTTGTTCCAACTTGATGTCAAAAATGCTTTCCTTAATAGTGACTTACAGGAGGAGGTATATATGGACATTCCAGCAGGCTTTTATGAAAATATTGGTAAAGGAAAGGTGTGCAGACTCAGAAAATCTCTATATGGACTGAAACAGTCACCTAGGGCTTGGTTTGACAGGTTCAGAGGGGCACTCATCCGTTTTGGATACACATAGACACAGTCTGATCACACCCTCTTTGTGAAGAGGAGAGATGCTTTGGTGTCAATTCTGATTGTGTATGTGGATGATATAGTGGTGACAGGAAATGATCTAGGGGAGATTATGATCTCAAAAAATCATTGTAGCAAGAATTTGAGATCAAAGATCTTGGTGAACTCAAATACTTCTTGGGGAAGTTGCAAGATCCAAGCATGGGATCTTTATTTCACAGAGGAAGTATGTATTTGACATATTGCGAGAGACTGGGAAGCTAGGGACCAAACTAGCAGACACTCCTATTGATCTAAATCACATAATTAATGGTGTGGATGGTGAGTGGGTAAAAGATGTGGGGAGATATCAAAGAATCGTGGGCCGACTACTATATTTGTCCATGACGCAACTAGACATTTCTTATGCTATCAGTGTTGTGAGTCAATACATACATGCACCTCGGGTTCAGCATTGGAAAGCTATTGAGAGGATACTTGCAAATCTGAAAAAGCACCTGGCAGAGGAATTTTTTTCTCAAATCATGAGAATTTGAAGATAGAGTCCTATACAGATGCAGATTGGTCAGGATGCTTAGATGACAAGATGTCTACATCAGGAGTGTTGTGGCAAGGTCAAGTGCAGAGGCTGAGTATAGATCCATGGCTCATGGTCTCTTAGAACTTCTTTGGGTTAGATCTCTTTTGATTGAGATTGGGGTGAAAACAGCAGAACCTATAATGTTATACTATGACAATCAGGCTGCAATCAATATTGCTCACAATCCAATTCAGCATGATAGGACAAAACACATTGAAGTTGATAGACACTTTATAAGAGAAAGGGTAACAACCGGAGAAGTCTGTTTGCCTTATGTCTCTTCAGAGTTGCAGTTGGCTGATGTTCTCACTTAAGGAGTGGCAAAGAACAAGCTTGAACATGATCTACGCAAGTTGGGAATGTGTGACATTTACTCCCAACTTGAGGGGTAGTGTTGAAGATTAATCAGTTTTATGATTTTTTTTATGAGTGGATGTTTTATGTTAGTTGTTAGATAGGAGGTGGGGATCACAGTAGTTATGTGAGTCCAAATTTTATAATGTTTTTTTGTGTCTTATATATGCTGTTTTATTGCTCTCATTTCTTTTCAACTTCTCTTCTCTTCTCTTCTTCTCTTTCTCTCTTCCTTCTTTCTTCAAGAAACTCCTTTTATTTCATATTTTTTAATTCAGCAAGCTTTCTACGAAAAAAGTCCAAACCGTATTTTGCTGTATTTTCCAACTGTGAAAGGAAGACAAGTATGAAACCATCAATGATCAACCAAACTACCAGATAATAATCTCAAAGTTAATCTAAAATGGAACTCACCAAAGTCATTCCTGTTCTTGTGCTGGTATGGACCTTACAGCCTGCTTATGTCATCCGATGGCATGCTGACATCAGCAGGTCTGCTTGCAAATGATGATCAGAAGAACTTGAAAATAGTTTGCTGATTTGAAGAGAAAGATTGGAGGCTGGGGCATGTAATAGGTTTGAGAATTTGTCTTAATTCTTACACCCTCTATTCATTAACTTCTATATTTAAAATTTGAACTACAATAATGCCCCTTAATTAGAGCCTAAATTGCGCCTCCTTGCATGTTAAACATGTTAATACTACCAATTCCTTGAGTTTTAACAAAATCCATGTTTCCAGGAAATTTCCTTGATTTCTTTAGGTTTTCCAAATATAGTGAGACTATTCAAATATCCCTGAATTTTCCTATCTCAACATGGTTATATGTTTGTTGATATTGAAATTACAATAGAAAAAGAACGACATATATGTATAGTTTACAAAACTCACCTTTTTGTTGTATTGCCATTTTCTTCTATGTACATTATATTCTTTACTGTCAAGAAAAAAAATCCCATCAAACCATAAATGCTGGCATGCGTTTTTTCTCTTATTTTGATTTTATCTAATACAATTTGATAACTGAGATAATTGTAAAATTCTGTGCTAACTATGCAGTTTTAAGTTCTAGTGAGGGCATTATGAAGAATCCCTGCATCCCAAAAGGGTATAGTCAGAAACTCAATCAAGCTGAGATTAATACAAGTGATGGAAAACAACTGGCATCACAGTTAGCAGGAAACTTTTCTGCATGTAGATCTGAAGCTTTGGCATTATTACAGAAAGGAAAAGGTAAGATCTGTTTTTTATAATCAAGTATGATGATTTTCTAAATTGTTATGGTGTTCTCCTTTAATCACTTGGTATTGACAATGGTTCCAATAGGAAAAAGCGTTTTCATTTTATAGATCTCTTTGCTAGTAATAGATCATGCAAAGGATTTGCTATTGCTTCCTAGGGATAATTGTTGAATGATGATGGCTCTATCAAAAGAAGTGTTATAATTCGGCCTGCCTTTGAGTCCTGTTTGCATGTTAACAGTCAAGAAGAAAGAGGAAGAAAGAAGGTAGAAAGAGAGAGAGAGAAAGGAGGAGAAAAGGTGAGAAGAAAAGTCTGGTGGTCCGAATTAGGGAAAAAATCACTCTCCCATTTGGCCAGACATGTTTTTGTATTATTAATATAATGGAAAAGACACAAGTGCCCTTATTTAAGTAAGGGACACTAGTTCTAACATAATATTACAGATCAACAAACTCAACATAAGTATAAAGACAGAAATACCCTTACGCTAACACTCCCCCTCAAGCTGGTGAGTGTATATCATATAATCCCAGCTTGTTACATATGTAGTCCACTCTTCCCTGACTCAACCCTTTTGTAAATAAGTCTGCCCACTGATTAACGTATGCAGTGTCTCTCACTCCATTCAGCACCTTCTCTCTCACAAAGTGATAGTCAACCTCAATGTGCTTGGTTCTTTCATGAAACACCGGATTAGAAGAAATATGAACTGTAGCCTGATTGTCACAATAGAGCTTCATTGGAATACTAATGTCGTACCCTATCTCCTGTAGAAGGTTCCTTAGCCACACTAATTCACAAGCAGTATGTGCCATAGCTCTATATTCTGCCTCTGCACTGCTTCTTGCCACGATTGTCTGCTTCTTACTTTTCCATGTCACTAGATTACCCCCAAGAAAAGTGCAATAACCTGTGGTAGACCGCCTATTAGACATAGAACCGGCCCAGTCAGCATCAGTATACCCTTCTATTTCAAGTTTTCCATCACTTTTGTATATCAAACCACGACTAGGGGCTCCTTTTAAATACCTCACAATTCTTAGAACCGCATTCCAATGAGGAACCAGAGGTTTCTGCATGAACTAACTTACCACATTAACCGCAAATGAAATGTCTGGCCAAGTAATGGTTAGGTAGTTCAGTTTACCTACAAGTCACCGGTATTTGCCAGGGTCTTCAAACACTTCACCCATATCACTGCTCAGCCTAGTATTTATTTCCATAGGTGTCTCAGTTGGTTTAGCACCTAACAAACCTGTTTCTTCTAGCAAAAGCACATATTTCCTCTGACACAAATTAATACCATGCTTAGATCTTGCTACCTCTATGCCCAAGAAATATTTCAATTTACCAAGGTCCTTTGTCTGAAAATGTTCCTGTAGAAAAGTTTTCAACCTGTCAATGCCCATTTTATCATTCCCGGTAATGACAATATCATCTACATACACCACTATTGTACAGGAAGAAGAGAGGAGAGAAGAGACAAGAGGACTGAGAGCCCCCAAAAGATACTGCAGGCCGGCGCAGTATATTATATTTATACTAGGGCAACAACAACTAAACATAAAGAGAAGTAAAAGTACAATAGTACCCCTACGGTACTATACATATGAAAAATAACATCTGTTAACACTCCCCCTCAAGTTGGAGCATAGATATCAATTATGCCCAACTTGTCACATAAATTATGATGTCTTGAGTGGTGTAGTCCTTTTGTAAAGATGTCTGCAAGTTGATCCTCAGAGCTGACATAGGTACACACCTCGCCTGTGATGACTTTCTCTTTGATAAAATGCTTGTCGACTTCGATGTGTTTTGTTCTATCATGTAGAACTGGGTTAGCAACAATGTTTAGGGCTGCTTTGTTATCACAGAATAGAGTCATAGGTTTGTCCACTGGAAAACCCAACTCATTCAACAGATTCTTTATCCACATAATTTCTACCACATCATGAGCCATTGCTCGATATTCAACTTCAGCACTGGATCTAGCCACCACACTTTGCTTTTTACTTTTCTAGGTAACTAGGTTTCCTCCTATAAAGGTGTAGTAGCCACTAGTAGACTTTCTGTTATTTAGAGACCCAACCCAATCTGCATCAGTATACACTTCAACTTTCAAACGCCCGTGCCTTTGAAATAATAAACCAGCACCAGAAAACCTTTTAAAATATCGAAGGATTCTTTCTGTTGCTTCAAGGTGAGTGGACATAGGGGCATGCATGAACTGGCTAAGGACACCAATTGCATAAGCAATGTCTGGGCGGGTCATAGAAAGATATAACAATCT